TCGTTATGTGTGACAGGTAACTGCATATGCACTGTAAAAGTAACATGAGCTCAGTGACCTTCTACTTGTAGATCTTGATGTTTACTTCATCACAGTTAAAGCTTAACTTATCAATATTTTTCTAAAAGACTAAAGAAATAATTAATTAATGCATTTTATTAGAGCATTTGATTTATTGATTGCTATCAGGTAGTGTTAATTTCGTTGACTAAAACGACCTTTTTTTCCATGACGAAAACGAGACGATGACGAGACGTGACGAGACGGCAGTAAACAATAACTGCAACTAAATCATCATGCAATATCGTTGACGAAAAGTGACGAGACGAAAATGTAGTTTACTAAATAAAAACTATGCCAAAATCTCTCTTTACTTTTGTTGACGAAAAATTAGGAGACGAAATATTATCAAAGATAACGTTACATCTCTGATAGTCAGTTTTTCTCCCAGTAGTTCCATTTCCGGTGCTGCGGCTGGGCAGCAGCTGTGTGTCTGTGCTGCGCGCGGCGGTACATTTGAATTACACCGGGCAGCGGCACAATCTGAACTGTCAGGAAGACTCGGGTATAACTCATGGTCTAACTAACCTTATTTAACAGAAAATAAAATGGCAACAACAGGGCTTGGGAGCAGTGGTCGCACTCACGTTAACCGAATACCCCCCGTCAGCGCGAGTGGGTGATAAATAAAAAAAAAAAAATAATATTTATAAAAACTCGACGGTTAATAATGGATTTTGACGGAAATGTTGCAATCCTGTCCGTCAAAATGACTGACAACGAAAAAGTCTAAAGCCACCACTGCTTGAGAGAAAGAAACAATGTGATATTTGAGCCCATTTTCGCAACAATGAGGCGGAGAAAAAAAGTGAATGCATTGTTTCATCAGAAGGGAAGCAATGTGGCCATAACACAGCTGGTAAAAACACCACAAACCTGACCGGATACTCTGCAAAGCTGCTTTCTCAATCATTCAACATGTGTTTTTCATCAAATAAGGACAAGATATAATCTTATTTATTTACTAAAATGACAAATTATTGGTTTTGGCTAGACTAGTTTGACTGAAATGTTCTATAAATTGAACTAAAAAAGACTCAACCGTTTTCATTGACAAAAAGTAGACTAAAATAATTAGTTTTCTTTGACTAAAATATGACTAAAATGCTCAGACTTTTAGTCGACTAAAACTTGACTAAATAAAAACAGGATGAAGGTGACTAAATATGACTAAAACTAAAAAAGACACAGGACTAAGACTAAAACTAAATTAAAAAATAGCTGACGAAATTGACACTACTATCAGCTCACTGAATAGATGTCCAGTGGGTTTGTTCGATCACGGACGACTCTCTCGTCTTAATGCCCTTTCGTTGTTACAACATGTAAACAAGACTCACTGCCATAGTTATTTTCCTTCTTGCCTGTTTTACGTTACTATGGATACTAGTCTCTCTTTCCGATTTACGCCTGCTCCATACTAGGCGTAAAAGTTACACCCGAGCGCAACGCATACGCGGCGCGGCTTAAGTCTAAGTGATGCACTAGTCATAACTTTTGTTTGGTCTTAACCTTCGGTTCTACGTCGGACGTAGAGTTACGCCCAGCTTACGCACTCCACTCCTGATTGTTAGTGAAGCAGTCATTCTACAGTACCTAAAGTAAGACATTTGTTCACAGAGTGATTTCTCTCACCTCCTGAGTTGCGTCACCAGATCCTCCGTCTCCACCTTCAGAGCCTTCAGACCCTCCTGGTTCGCTCTCTTCTCCTTCTGGTCCTTCTTCACCTCCTCCTCCAACTTCTGCTGGAACATCCCCAGCTCCTGATTGGTCACCTGCACCGCGGAAAACAACCGGACACACTTTCAGATACAGTCAAAGTCAAAGTCAACTTTATTGTCAATTTTTCTGTTTGTGTGTACAGAGATATAGAAATACCATTTGCCACAATCCTGAATACAAAAACAAATATGTATATCCTATATATACACAATCAAAGACACATTTATACATATGCACACATTAAGACCTAAATAAAAGCACAATAATCAATATGTAAGGGATAATGTGCAGCGAGGCAGTCATTATGGGGAAAAGAACACCCGACAGGCAGATCAGGATCCCGACGCGTATGAATAAAGTTAAATCGAACGGACTTGTTTGGGCAGATGTGAGCGTCCTTAACAACGGTCAATAAGTCCTTGACAGCGGATGGCTGTTCTGGATTAACAACGTGTCACGTGTTCTGAATTGACCAATCAGAATTGAGTATTAATTTAAGCCATGTAATAAATACAAAATAACAGTCACTTCAATATCTTTGTACATTAGTGCAAGACTGTCCATAGCAGTGTAAAAAAAAAGTGAGAGCATGATTTGTACATGTTTTGTTTAAAGTAACATGTAAGATGTTATAATTTGTCAGTATAACAGCGTATGGAGCTACCTGTATGTTGGTGGTGATCTGCTGAACCTCTCCTTCCAGGACAGCAAGGTCTTCTTTGTGCGTCAGGTTGACTTTGTCGCAGTCTTTCGATATTTCCTTCATGCTCTGCTCCAACACCCTTCCGTAGTGTTGCGTTTTGTTGATGTCACCCTGTATCAACAACAAAACATGTTAGTACTAAAAAACAAAAACACTTAAAAGATACGTAGCAATAGATTGAAGCAAATAAATACCATACTAGGTTTAAATATCAAGTTTCCGTAGAACATTTGATAATCATTTGTTTAAATGAAAACAATGATTTGTTTTCATTTAAACAAATCATTGATTAAACAAATCTAATCCGTTTATCTAAATGAACAGATGGAGATGCTAAAGTGCCATTAGGGTATTGCACAATTAGGGGTATTGCCATGAATAGTCTACCATGCTTTTATCATTCAGTCTCCATTAAATAGCTCGTACAGCAGAAAACAAGTGAAAACCTAATTGTTAAAACGTATACTTTAAGTGTCTTGGTCACACGAGACATCTGGATCATGAATCTTTGTTGACATCAATGCAATGAAAACAAATAAATACAACTCACCGGGCAGCTCTCAAAACGCTCGTAAATCTCTGTATTCACCGCTACACTCCTCACGGTCTCATTGCACGTCTGTGTTTGAAACAAAAAAGCATTTTAACTTCCCACACAATTCATATTTCATCTAGTTCATTTTAAAATGACACAAAGTGTTTGGAATGTACCTGTACAGCGGCATGTTTCTTCAAAACTCTTTCATCAGATGAAACGGACGATGTTTCAGAAACTCCTCGATCCCCCGCACTGCGAAGTAGATCCAACGCTCCGTAGTCATCAGGTATAAAGTAAGGGTCTTGCTTTTCATCGTCACCATTACTCCAGGCGTAAAATTGATTATTAACTCCAACAAAGGCAGGCGCATAAGGCAGGGGGGCAAATGCATATGGATTTGGGAGGATGGGATGGGCATTCTGTGCGTATGAATAACCGTTCTGATCGCAAGGGAAAGCACTAAAACTACCCTCGTCCAAACCAGGACACGGATACTCAATGTCGGGATCGGTGATATCGTCCAGGTCGTCCAAACTGGCTCCGTGTCCGGCCTGCTGCAGAGTGACGGCGTGTTTAGCCAGGCCGATGCACTGCCCCATCTTTATGAAGCGCAGAGAATCCAGGAGGAAGACCTCGAAGCCGCCCACTTCCTGGATCTTGTCTTTAGCAACGACAGGGAAGTTCTCCAGCTCTCCCACCAGCAGAGGGTCCTCAGCGACCAGCGGACCGTGCTCCTCCAGGATCTGAGCGAAGTAGCTGTGGAGAGACGAGCAATTATTATCATCATCATCATCAGGGACTCGGGGACAGTTTTATCCCACAGGCCATAAGACTGCTAAACACCAGAGCTCTGTTAAAGGTCCCCTGTTAAACTGTTTATCCTCAATATATTATAAGTCTCAGATATATACAAACAGTGGCGGGGTGCAGCCCCACCTAGTGTCAGCAGAAGGTATTAAAAATAATTATTACAAAAAAATGCAAAACAAATATATATTTTAAGATCATGCTTAATCATCTGATTCGTCTGTACATTTCTGTTTTAGTCTGTGTTCTTCTAATTAGTGTCTACAGTGTGTGCATATTGAGCTGTTGTGGGACAAAACCCGATCATGCCCCTCCCTCTCCCTTTCAAAGTGAATGGTGGTGAATGGCTTATATTTTATTTTATCAATAAGGTATTTATATTGTTCAGTTATGCTAAAGTCTTTGATTGCACTTCCAAGTGTAAAGTTTACATTTGAATTGTTTGGCACTGACTTTTCCTCATTGATGTTTTATGTTTTACTTAGTTATGTTTTACTCTCCTTTTCACGTTTATTGATGTTACATCACTGCTAGTGCTACCTAAAACAGAATGTGAATCTTTATACTGAGAAACTGTGCCTTGAATATTTTATTTTATTTAGCAAAAGAGTGCACTTTACTTGGTGAAGAAACCAGTTTTAATGTTTGTTGTGTAGGGTGTAGGCCTACCTACTTGAACACTGAGGAAGCCATATCAAAATTCCGGTTGAATTGTTCATTCAGGGATTCATTGCAGAATTAAAACCAGCTTGAAATGGTATTTTGGTCTGTTACTCCTTTTTATTTTAGTTGTGTGTTACCTTGTAGGTGGTTGTACTGTTAAGTAACTTGAAAAATAACCATAATAACAGACATGAAAAAATATCGTGATAAATAACGTCTATTGTGATACGGCATGAAAAATATTGTGATACATTTTTCAATATCGCACACCCCTAACTCAAATACAGTAAAGGTTGTCTATTTTATTGGTTTTTATGTCCTATATATATTCATGTTGCAATGTTCGAGAAGCCTGTGACCTAAGCTTTTTATTGCCATATCTCTAGCTAACGTGCACATGACAAAAAAGCCTTGACTTGGAGAATGAAGGTTGTACTCACTCATACAAACTCTCTTTGGTCGGGTCGGGGTTGTTGTCCAAAATGTTTTTATAGTGACTTCTGTGTCTCGTGGTGTTGTACTGGTCCTCAAAAAAGGCCACTTGCTCTCGAAGGTGACTCGGGACACTGAAGGGATCAACGGGGTGAAGGAATGATCTGTTGGTGCCAAATCCAGACATTAAAATAACCGTTATAATTCTTATCTGCGTTTCTAATTTGGAGGTTGAGGGACTTACAAAGTGTCATCTTCAAAAAAGTCTTGGTCCCATTCCTCTCTCTGCGTTTGGCTGCTGTTTCCAGACCAAACAATAACACCCTGAGAGGAAGATGAGAGGAAACACTTCAGAGAGATATTAAAAAAAGACAATTCTTTACAAGCTATGAGGGAAAATCTGAATTCTTCGCACCTTTGGTCCTTTTTTCTTTTTCCGGGCTCGACTCTTCAAAGGAGAATTCTGAAATCAAATCATAATGAATAAGAATCAATTGAAGTTTCATTCATAGTATACAACATATGGCATCTTTTACACAATTTGGGTGTCAATTCTACTTATAAAACACTTGACATAAAACGGATAAGTCAAATCAATCAATCTGATTGGTTCTTAGCTCTGATATAGTGAGCGTATATCACGGGTAGAATTGTAGTTACTTTTCACAAGTCAGTATCCCTCCGCGTCTGGGAAACAGCTACAACCGTTACAACATTACGTCCGATACGAAACAAACTAACTAACAAAGCTTAAGATGGAAACATTTAAGGTTAACTTCGACCTCCGGGGGGGTCTTACTATGGAGGAGTGGATTGAGGAGTGGATTGAGCAGTGCCTATCTCCAGAAAGCACCTAAACGACGACATGCAGAGCTACGTGAAGAGCAGGTAGACCAACTGGAAAACAACCGAAACTAACCATTCAAAAGCTTTCTGATGCGGGTCTTGAAACAAAGCAGAGAAATGATGACCGTTAGTGGCCACAGGTGCGAAAGCCGAATCTCGGGGACCGGAGAAAGTGGAGCAATATTCTCGCCACACCAACAGCCTAGAACAAGTAACCACGTAACCCATTCTACTGATGCTGGACAGGTTTTCAGTGGGTGCACAATAAACGGCAACATACAAATGTATGTAAATAAATAGCCAAATAATGGATCAACGCCGCCTGTCTAATATGCTCGCTAGCTGTTAGTGTTGTTGCATAGCAACCACCTCGCATGTTTTGTGAGGAAGGCAACGAAGGGACTATTTTATTTTTAACATCATTATTTACTAATAAAAACTATTTAAATTAGAGTGTGTATTTTTCTTTCATATTGCCACACTTGATAACCGTTTTATAAAAGCAATAGCTCACTTCAGGCCGTGGTATAAGGATACTACTACCCTACTACAACAACTTACGATATGGTGGTAATGTAATCATTAATATATTGACTGACTTTAAAAAAGGACTACCGTAACCATTTTAAGTTCAAAAGGCAACCAACTACAGTCTAGTTTATGAGCTTTAAACCAAATACCAATATGTTTAAAACTTAACAGCATATAGTGTCTTTCACATGATTTTGGGGGATCAATCCTTCCTATAAAATACTTGCAATAGGATATTAAATAGTCTTTTAAGTGTTATTAGGATACTACTACCCCGGCAACAGTTTTTAAAAACATGCAGATATCATTACGATACGGTGGTAATGCAATATTTAATATGTTGATTAAAATGGTGAAGGTGTTCCTTTTAAAGTCAGTCTACTTTATGAGCTTCAATCAAAAATACCAATACGTTTAAACTTACATTTTGATTTTCATCAGACTTTTTTAAGACTGAACAATGTCCATCTGTAAAATAGAAATGATTAGAGGTTAAATCATGAGCAACAAGTGAACACCATTGATTAAAATGTTAGTGAAGTGGAATATACAGTACGTACCCATCATATCAAAATACTCATCCAGTATAGCGTGGCAGGAGAGAAACTGGTCTCTTTGTTCCTCCAGAGTCCAGATAAAGAGTCTCATGTTATCATGCGGGGCCTGTTTTAGGTATTCAGTCTCAGTCAAGCCAATGGTTGAAAAAAGATCTGGGCTAATATCAAACTCTTCAATTATTGAGTCCTGCATCGGGCCAAAGCCGAGCAAAAAAGCTAGATCAAGCGTCTCCAAGTGTCCCGCGTGGCGATCAATGAAGCACTTGGCAGCATTCAGACCTGAAGAGAGCAACAAGGAGACGGTTAGACTTCAAATATAGAGTGGTGCAGGGATGACGTATTTACCCGGAAGCTGCATGAGTTCCCTCGACAAAAAAGCAACAGGATTTCTCCATAGGATTTTGGAATATTATAAAAAATAACTTCTGTGGAAAACGAACCTGTTTGATAAATGCGCGTTTTGTTCAGCCGGATAATCTCCACATGTCTACCCTACTGTTACAATTTTCTAATCATAAATCTAATCGCCAGAAGCAAAATGCTAATGTTATGCTATAAAGGAACTACAGCAGGGTCGCACGACTTCAACGTCACGCCAACTTAAGATCGATATTCAAAAAATACAGATTCTAAATGGTACGAGTTGAAGCGTTTGTTTGAACAGTTTGCTGGAGGCAGGTACTTGCTTTCAAGCAGAACAGGGCAAACTAACTTAGAGGAGTGTTTACGTGTTCGGCGTGATGACGTACAACGGCCTCGACAACTTCTGTAGTCCTATTCAGCCACTTGGTAACAACCATCGTTTTTCAGACACGTAAACTCTTCAGATATCACCAGAGGGGTCACTGCTGATGGATTTAATGTCGTAGAACAAAACGTGATCTGTCTCTTAAATGTGTCTCAACCACAGACCTTATTTCCAGATATTTTCCAAAATCCTATGGAGAAATCCCATTGGCTCTGAGACAAGGGAACCATCCGTGGTAAAATACTGACTCACTTCTGGGTTTTAGGACTCGTCACTGCACCACTCTATTGTTAAGATCCCAACATTTTAATCAATCTTTACTTATTTATATAGCACATTTAAAACAACCTCAGTTGACCAAAGTGCTGTACAGGGAATACATACAATATAACACAATGGGAGTCAAATAATAAAACAATAATTAAAAACATGATAAAAAGCACAACTAGAAACATCACATCAAATCTGCATATTTAACTCAAGAAACAAACATATTCACCTCTTATGAAAACACGCCTAGCCTCCACAAAACAAAGATACCATGAAGATTAGGATGGACGTCACAGCTGTTCCTATCTGCCTAGTGTGACCTACTTTAATGATCATTACTTACATGAAAAAGGATATTCAAATCAAGTCCAATGTCTGAATATATACTAATATTACTATGAGTAAAAGTAAGTAGTATGGGGGTGCCAACATCACTTCGGCAAAAAAACGAATTTAGCCCGAGCACACGCATAATTAAATCGTAACATGATAAATGTTGTTGAGTTTAGGATCTATACTCCGACAGCTACTGAGCAATTTAAATTACGACCCCGCGCACTTTCCAGCGAAAAATAATGCATTGGAGCGGAAGATAAGTTTCTTCATGTCTTAAAGCTTCCGAGTTGCATATTGCACCTCATACAACAAGTAAATCCTGAGTTACGGTTTCTTTACTTCCTCTGCAGGAAAAAGGGACAGTAAAAGAAACGATCTGATTCAGAAATCACAGTTTCTGTGTCAGCCTGCTTCCTGCCATTCGACCAGATCAGACATCGATCCCATATTTATTCGGAGCTCAGTAAAAACAAAGCTGTGTATGCCGTCTGACGGTCTATTCGACACGATGTTCATATTTTTGGAATAATTATACAGTTTTTGAAGAACAGCAGCTCCCCTGATACCCGTTTTAGACAAAAACCCAGGAGGAATTGGCTCCAAAACTACTATTCTATTTTATCTGTGACCTCAGGCTTTCATTGACATAACTACACTGTAGCTATGCACACATGACAATAAAAACCTTGAATCTTGACACTGAGATTCACACACATTAAATCATAACATGATAAATGCTGACCTGCGTCGTTGAGGTGGCTCGCCCAGTTGTGGAGTTTAGGATTTATATCCCGGCAGCTACTGAGCAGCTGGATCAGGATTCGAGCCCAAACGCGGTTCTTCCTCTCCAGCAGGAGCTCGACGACCGGTCCGAGCGTCTCCATCGGCTCCTGCTTCCAGTTCAGGATCCGCTCAGCGATCTGGTTCCCCCTCGATGAGTCCAGCTCCAGCCAGGGCTTCAGACTCTGGGTCAGAGCTGACGCCTGGAGGCCCGTTTCCTCTCTCAGCAGCTCCAGGTTCTGACTGATCTGCAGCAGGACTCGATCCCTGTACAGCAACCAGGCTGAAAAACAGTGAAACACAAACAGTGAGTGATCAACACTAGTTTTACTTAAAGATCTCCTAACATGCTATTTTTAGGCATATATATTATGCATCTCAGATATATACAAATCAGTGTTTCCTCCAGACCAGGGCTGAGAGGGCGTCCACCCCGAGAGCGGGGGGGTGACGTTGTGTCACGTGACTTGAATTTTTAATTGAGCCGTCCCTTATAGATACTATCTCTTTACGTTAGTGATGGGAAATCCGGCTCTTCATGTTACCACAGTTTACCACGGAGCCTCAGTTTCGCCGCTGCGAGGCTCCGGCGCTCGTAGTTCACGCGTGTGCTCCACTAGCACCCCCCGTCAAGGCTTGCCGGCAGTGCACTTTCCGTCACAGGAACGCGCTTTACTTGCAGCGAAAATAATCCCACCAGACTCCTTTGCCCCTCCAACAGAGGGATGTCCTTGTCCTTTTTCCTTTTCGTCATTTCAAGCGATAAAAACTCTCGATCTTCTCTCGAATTATAACATTTTTTGGACGCCCTCGGCTCGAGTTCAGGGCGTTCCGAGCTAACGCCCGTCAAAGGCAAGACGCCCCCCCTGGCGGAAACGCTGATACAAATATATAAAAAACATGTCTATGAGACTATATGACGCGATTAAACGCCATATCATGTTCCAAACCACTTCAAGGATTATTTCTGAAACAGTTTGGAGCTCAAATGCTTTTTCTCTCTCAGGTATACCACATACTCTCTCCAGTACCGGCTCAGTGGGTAGTGTGCTGGACTTCGAATCAGGGGATAACAAGTTTGAGTCCCACTGCAGTCAGCATGTCCTTGTGTCCCTGAGGCACTTCACCCCAAATTGCTCCTGTGGGGATTGTCCACAGTACTGAATGTTAGTCAAATGACATGTAATGTAATGAGTGTTGGCGATGCAAATGTAAACAAAGACCATATTACGTCCAAAACACGTCGGCCATTGTTTCTGATGGCAACGTTTCTGATAGTGCTGTGCGTCCGCCGCCGGTATTACGTCATATCGGACGCAAATCTGGATCCGCTGCGTTGAACCCCCGTTTTTAGAGATTTGGGTACGGAGGAAAAGAGAGAGGGTTTTGTTTTGTGACACTTTGTGAGTTCCCTGACACACCGGGGACACATCTTTATGTATAAAAGACATCAAGAAGTGCATTTTGCATGATAGGTCCCCTTTAACATGGAGCTCTAAAAAGCTTTGGCTGAGAGGCTGATCCTTACCTTTCTGTTCAATCTGTGTCGTCGAGTCTTCTTTCTGCAGCAGAATCTCCTCGTTGATCGTCTGCTTTTCTATGAATGACTGCTTATGTTGCCTCCTCTTAAGTTTGTGCTCATCCTTTGCTTTTATCTTCCTCAGACTGAAAGAATTAACAGAGAGAAAGGCATTTTTTTAGAAAACTAGGTGCTTGGCAATAACTCTAAATAACCTTTAAAGTCAATCAAACTGAAACTATTGCAGATCACAAAACTGGTAAAGATCATTTATAAATCAGAATCGATATATTTTTTCCCAATTAACATCAAGTCCTTTTTATTCTGAGTCCTGCAGATCCACTCCATCAGCATGAACTCTATTTGACTCACCTTGTACATTTCTGATTCACTTTGAGCTTCTTTGGAGTCGGGGGTTTGGTGATGGCAGCTTTAAACTAAAGAGAGAAAGATTGTCTTTACTATCAGTGATGCAAACACAGGTATGGTGAAAAAAGAGAGAACTATTCGAAGCAGAAAAAAAACAGCGTAATATACCATCTGACAATGACAGATTTTTCTTTTTGGATATTTTACAAATCACTCCCCTTTCAGACTCTATTCTTGTTATTTTTAACAACCTTTTTTTGTTACTGTCATATAGTATTTTATACCTGTTAATAATTGAGTCTCTAATTCCTCATTAATAACTATAATGATCATATGAAGGTGTGCCTTAACCTCACTGAGCTGAGGTTATTTGAGCCTCTCAGGAGAGAGCTCTCTTCCACCTGGTTGTAGAAAAGCTCTTTAAATTCGTTAGCATAGCTAGCTAACCAGATGCTAATAACAACAGATCGCCACTGTGNATCCATTGCTTCCATTGACTCCATTGGTTGCCAGTGAGGGGTTAATTTACGAACAAAAAGTCGGCTACACTTATATGCTTATGTATTAAGGCCGGTAAAATATGCTGAGGACCGGCAAATCTAAATCTCTCCGGTCAAAATGTCCGGTCAAAATAATTTCCCCTTAGCGCAATACCGCATCGGTTGCGCCACTTATGTGACAGACAAAAGAGTATGTGACAGACAAGAATAGTCCATTTCTAATGTCTAACACTTAATGTGGAGAAAGAGATGTGCTGTATGGATTGATTGTGCGTTGATCTGTTGGTAATGCCTCGGGGTTCCGGTGGGCATGTAAACAAAAGCATAATGCTGAGCTATACTTTGCGGCCTCACCCTGTTTGAATAGCTTATTGTTTAGGTGTCTTGATAAGCAGCGAATCATTACCTAGATCTGATCGATACGGACATAAACGCGAGTGAAGTCTAATCTGACGGGAGAGAGAGAGAGAGATCAGCTGCTGCTGACGAGTCGACGGTGAGCAAAACACACACTTCAGGTTAGAAAATCACACGTAGCTATTTTACTTAGGCTACCTCTCAAACTACCTAAACTAGTTATAGGTAGGTTTAGTTTTACTGTCGGGTCACTCATTACTGGATCCACGAGCTGCATGAGACTGGCGGGCTGTCAGGAGAGGGAGAGAGCGCTCCGTTTATTATTCCCGTGTTATTGTAAATTACTGTTCACTTTTGAATAATGTAGTTAATCTACTATAATTAGTTTGTTTGATATTGAAATCATATCAATTTGTTTTAATGCTCAATAAATAACAAAGAAGACCTTTGACCGGCACTTTTCTCATTTTGTCCGGAAGATTGAAACTTTAACGGACATGTTGACCGGCAACAGAACTCTGGTGTTTGTGGGATTAGACAAAAAGAGAGTAATAAATGACAACATTTGAATTAAAATGATATGAGTAACAATATAATAGTCATGTATCCTAGGGGGGGGGCATGTCAATAGTAGCATGATCTTAAAGGTCCCATGTCATGGCCATTTCTACTGATCATAATTCCATTGTTGAGGTCTACTAGAATAGATTTATATTGTGCAATTTTCCAAACTCACATTGGTTTCTCATACAGCATCTCTGTATAGTATGTGTATTCACTCTGTCCTAAACTGCTTGTTGGAGCTCCTGGCCCCCCCCCTCCCTGTGAGCCCAGTGGCCGTCTGCGAGACACAGCGAAACCATCCTGAACACACACACCCGCAGCCTGGCTGGGAGTGTGTGTGTGTGTGCTTACACACCGACTCACAGCCTCGCCGCATCCCGCCATCTCAGGGAGGAGAAATCGGCAGAGCTGCAGCTGAGAAAAGATTGAATGTGTGTGTGAGGAAGTCCGGATTGGTACATTTGGACCAATCCACGGAGGGGTCGCCGTTACGTCACTTGGTTCCCGGAAGAAATAAATTGAAAAAGAGAAAATCCCCAAAAAAACCTTCACAACACACAAGGGGACGGGTAATAACCGGAAAAGCATGACATGGGACCTTTAAAGAAGTAGAAAGGGGTGGTGACTGAAATCTGAGTGAGGATTATGATGTGATAATTTTTCCATTGAAATGTATTCCATAAGCAGGTTTTTCCAAATTGTGATATCACTTTTGTGTCGTGATTTCCAATTCATGATAGTTTTGTTTGCAATGATTAGGGCTATGGACAGAATTCTACTTGATGTAATGTTGATGTTCCCATTGGAAATGTCTCCTAGTAAACAACAGGTTTGAGATCTTAAATTGAAGAAGGGACAATCAACTAGTCTACAATAGAAACCTCAAGATGTGATTTGAAACGTTTCATGTTATTCTTTACACCGTAGAGCCAGACTGTTTACTGACAGCTTAACTAAAGTATAACGTGTCGACAGTGGAGGCATTAGTTTGCACATTTAACTAAAACTCTCAACCTCCAGCACCTTTGCCTTTTCAAATGTGACGCGTGTCGCTGCTGTGAACATGAGACGAGTGCAGGGAAAATACCTTTGGGCTCTGGCATTTCCAATAAGAATTTCTCGTGTTGGTCTTCCAGGTCTTTGATCCCGTCTCGGTTGTCTTTACAAAGACCCCGGGCTAATACGTTGGCTTCGATAGCCTTTTTCACCTCGCCCAAGGAAAACAAAGCCTCACAGAAGCGGAAGTGGCCCTGCAAACAAAACCGTGATTTACATTTGAACTCATGATTACCATTTCAAGAACTTACAACTCGATCAAAATGAATCTCACACAGATCATAAAAGAGATAAGTACCTTCACCCAGAGTGGCTTTATCAGAGTAGCACGTTTTCCATCAGTTACCGCTTTGCTGTAAAAATCAATAAGTCATTTTAGCATTAAAACACATTTCCTTTCCAGTCCACCATTCACTCTTGCTCTAGTTTGGGACGTTGAACACTGACTCATCACAAGGTCAAACAGATGTCACTTCTGATACTTCATGCATTCACCAATGAGAGGAATTAGTGATACTTACAGATATTTTTTACATCGGATATAGCATAGCGCTCGGTTTCCATAAATGAAGTGGTTGTCAGGGCTGGATGGAGGAGAAGTACATTTGAGTCACAAAAGTACACGTTTACAAAAGTATTATTTTACAATCTATATAAATACCCTGCTAATACAGATTTTCTCTGTAACACTTATGGCGCTATTCCACTGCAGCACGGTTTAAGCGTGCCGTGCCAAACCCGGCCCGTTTTTTTATTTTTATTGCGTTTCCACTAGGGGTAGTTCCGGCTCAGGGCTACCTTTTCAGTTTTTCTGGCCCTGCAAAATCGTGGTTCTCTCCGGGTCAACAACCGGGCTGAATATGCTAAACTAGTGACGTGAGTGGCTACAACTAAAACACAATGAACATATTTTACCGTGATTTTAATTGTAATACACGTTTCAAAAATAATGCCGAAGTAACAACATACTGATACCGGTTAGTAAAAACCATGAATTAATGCTTTGACAAGTCTGCAGACAGACGGCAGTCGAAAAACCTTTTAAAATGCGTGTTTTTCTGAATGGAGCTTGGCTAAGCTAACGCTGTATATGCTCCGTCCGTCCACACACACACAACAACGGCCTACAGACATAAATAAACCAGCGACTGTATTCTCCATGACACAGACAGTCTGTGGTTTGTACTCGTTTAACTTTTGTCTAGTTTCTGAACAGATATGAGGAGCTGTGAGCTTGAGGGCTAACAGCTGATGTTGGTTTTGTGGTTCTCATTGAAGATGACGTCACGGCTCCGCCTACACTGCGTTACTATAGTTACCGCCCCAGTTCCTAAACGGTAATGGAAACGCAGCATAAAGTGAGCCTGGCCTACCAAGGCCTAACTATACCGTACTAAGCCGTGCGAGGCCCTGCAGTGGAAATGCGCCATAACTCTCCACTACACACACCAAGGCCTTCTTTTGAGGTTGAACCTTGTGTTTGTAAAAATCTGTACCACTCATATATTGTTTAAAAAGAGTGTCAACAAAAACATAAATACTTCAACTTCACCGGGAAAAGGCCGTACTATTTTATTGCATTATTGTAAATCACGTGAAAACAAAAACATAAAAAAATGTTGCAACCACGGTTACCTTAAAAACAACACAGTTTGAAGTTTCATGCATTAACTTCTAGAAATAAATAAAAAATATTACTTACTATAATTTGATGGCTTTAGAATAATACTTCACAGCTTCTTCAAACTGCATTTTCTTGAAGTTCTCATTTCCTTTCTTCTTCATTTCTTCACTTTTCTGGAGAAGGAACACGACAAACCAAATATTTTAATTACTCATTAGTTGCCAACATACTTGTCATTAATTCTGCCGTCAACTTAGATGTGTCTTTGGCAAATAAATACATACAAAGCCTGTTTGAGAATAGTTTATTTATATCAGAGAGACCACCGTAGATGTTATTTGTCTCACCTCTATTAGATATTCAGCCGGTCGAACATTCAGCGCCTTCATCGTCTTCACCGAGTCAGAGCCCATTTTCTGAATGTACTTTGCAACTGATGGAAGCAAAAGAGGAGTGTGTTTGTTATAATCCACACACAAGGCTCACTGTTTACACACCAAATCACATAGAGTGGTGAGTTAGCATTTTACCACTACGGGTTCCAAAGTCAATGGGATTTTGGAAAATAGCTTGAAATATGGTCTGGGGTTGACACAAATTGAAAACGTGTTGTTCTACGGCATTAAATACATCAGCAGTGACCCCACCGGTGATTTTTGAAGAGTTTACGTGTCTGAAAAACGATGGTTGTTGTTGGGAAAATACTGAATGTTCCTTCTATATCAGAGTAGCACATGATAACAGAGGCCCTACGTAGCTGTGTACGTAGCCGGATGTATGACTACATGGGTGACGCTCATGAGACACTGTGTTGAAGTTATGATAGCTATGTTCCTAAGATTGGCATGATGACACAGCCCCTACAGAGATAGATGACGTCATGTTTATTGCTTACGCAGGCCTTAGCAAATCTTAACTAATGTCAGAATACTGCTTTGAACCAGTATTCCTCCATCTTGTTGACTGCAACACCCTCTTGTATAAAAGCATATCAAGGACTATTTGTCCCAAGCAGCCCTGTGTGTGATGGCTACTTCCATTCTTGCAAGGATAATAAATACATGTATCGTGATATTGAAGACCAAGCCGGTGACGAGTGATATTTTTCTGAACAGTTTTTTCTTGACAGTTGTTACCAAGTGTCTGAATAGGAATACAGAAGTTGTCGAGGACGTTGTACGTCATTACGCCGAACACGTAAACACACTAAGTTTGTTTGCCCTGTTCTGCTTGAAAGCAAGTACCTGCCTCCTGCAAACTGTTCAAACAAACGCTTCAACTTGTACCATTTTGAATCTGTAGTTTTGAAAATTGATCTTAAGTTTGCGTGACGTTGAAGTCGTGTGACCCTGCTGTAGTTCCTTTATAGCACAACGTTAGCATTTTGCTTCTGGGCGATTAGATTTATGATTTGAAAATTATAAAAGTATTGTGGACATGTGGAGATTATCCGGCTGACCAAAACATGCATTTATCAAACAGGTTTGTTTTCCACAGACCTTATTTCGAGCTATTTTCCAAAAGCCTATGGAGAAATCTCATTGCTTTTATGTCGAAGGAACCCATGCACAGTTTACTTCCGGGTCGGCCTACAAAAATACGTCATCCCTGCACCTCTCTATACTGCACATGCATCATGGTATGTGTGTTCATAAGAAAAGGAACCTTTATTTTATCCCCAAGAGGAAATATGGGTATTCAAGTAGGTCTGAGTGGAAGAAAATGGACCACTGTCTGCCCCTTTTAGGTTATAAATTGAGCATTTCCTCATCTTGCCACATTTAAAAGCTGCGTGTGGGTGATAAGTCGTGGCTGGGCATGTTGCCATGGTGCTGCTTGACAACACAAATATTTTTAAATATGCAAAGTGGCATCATGCCAGATGGCAGCAGCTCTCAGTGACTTGTATAAGGTATGCGTTGTATTCCATGTCTATAGTAGTAGTTTTGGTCTCTTTCTTATCGGGTTATCAAAATAGGGTAATAGGCGCTGCACCTTCTTACTTTCGGCGTGCGCCCTCATACCAAAATGCCAATTCTCCCTGTAAAATATTAAAGTGACGCCAGAAAATGAGGTCTATTTGACACGATTTTCACTTTTTTGGAGTAATAATAGAGTTTTTGAGGAACAGAAATATTAATGTGATGCTCTGATTCTGGCATCACATTAATATTTCTGTTCCTCAAAAACTCTATAATTACTTTTTGCACCCGACACTTTTTACGCTGCTATGGACAATCTTGCACTAATGTACATCCCCAAAGATATTGAAGAGACTGTTTTTTTGTATATATTGATTGTTATTGTGTTTTGTATCTTAATGTGTGCATATGTGTGTTGATTGTGTATATATA